TAGTCACAAAGAGTCAGACATTACTGAAAAAGCAACAACAATCTTTAAAAATTGAAGAACTAGTGCGTGCTTCAGCAGCACATATACTAACATTGGAGATACAGAGAAGATTAGCATGGCCCCTGCGCAAGGATGACACCAAATTCGTGAAGTGTTCCGTATTTTTATATTTATAACTCATGAGACCTTTGTCAGTATTAGGGTAATTGGAGGGAAAAAATTATATGTATGTATATATAGATATAGATATTACAGGGTGAGTTGAAGATGAAGGGGTCATATCTGGAGAATACAATTAAGGGGTGAGAGAGGATTATACTGGGAGAAGGAAAAAGGGAGAGGTAGAACAGGTTAAATTATCTCACAAAAAAACAAAAGAAAAAGCTCTTACAGAGGTGGGGGAACAGGGGAAGGTGAGAGGGAATGAGTGAAATTTTTTCTCATAGGATTTGGCTTAAGGAGGGAATAACATACACAATCAACTGGGTATGGAAATCTGTCTTATCCTACAGGAAAATAAGGGGAGAAGGGGACAAGAGAGCAGGGGAATGATAGAGAGGAGGGCAGATTGGGAAAGGGTGTAATCAGAAGCAAACACTGCTGAGGAGGAACAGGGTCAAAAGAGAGAATAGAATAAATGGGGGTGGGTGGGATAGGGTTAAGGGAAATATAGTTAGTTTTTCACAACATGACTACTACAGAAGTGTTTTGCATAACTGCACATGTGTAACCTATATTGAGCTGCCTGCCTTTTCAATAAGAGTGGGTGGGGAGAGAGGAAGGGAGAAAATTTCGAACCCAAAGTTTTAAAAACACGTTTTTAAAAAAATGTTTTCACATGCAACTGGGAAATAAGAAATACAGGAAATGGGGTATAGAAATCTATCCTTCCCTACAGGAAAATAGAAGAGGAAGGGGATAAGAGAAGGGGGAGAGAGATAGAAGAGAGGGCAGAAGGGATATTCAGAATGCATGCCATCGTGGGGTAGGGGTAGGGGTGAGATGGGGTGAAAATTTGGAACTCAAAATCTTGTACAAGTAAATGTTGAAAACTAAAAGTAAATTTTTAAAAACGGAAAAACTAGAAGTCAAAGAAAAAGGGATAAAATATGTACTTCTAGACAACAGTTCTTCATGTAAAGACACTTAAGATTTCCTCCCACCTTACCCTAAATCCTGAGCTTCATCTCACTCAAATCTTAGTGCATTTTTCTTTTGTTTTATTAACAATTGTGATAATCCAAAATCAAATTATTATATTTTATTAGTCTATTTCCCTACTTTGCCTCTCAAACTATTAGAAGAAACCGAGATTGTCTTTAGGAAGGTCACAGGTAAGTAGTACAGGAAAGTAGTTTGCTTTCTACCATTATTGTTGCTACTTTTCTTCCATGCCCTCTCCATGTCAGCGTATAGAACTATGACTCATAAAATTCACTGTTATGTATAAGGAAGATCAACTGCCATATTCTAAAGTCCTAAAAACTCTTAAAGATCATAATCTTTATTTTCAAATAATAACAAGCAATTTATTACAGGGACCATCTTACTATGCCCATGTTACATATGGGAAATAAAAGTCAGAAAAATTAATATCTAGCCCAATGACAGATACATACATACTCACAGAATTCTGTTTAGAACTCAGAAGTCTTCAGACTCCTAATCCTTCAGTCTATGCTGCACCTTTCCAGGGATTCTTTTAAACAATATTGTTTTCTTAATATAGCCCTTAAATTGAGAATGTGTGTGGTGTGAGATTTTGTGTGTGTGTGTGTGTAAGACGGTTAAGAGAGGCTGCAGGGGAGATGCTTAGAAACTTTCCTCCATGCAAGCAGAACTGAAACATGGAAAGATAACTTTGAACAATAAATACAGTGGTAAGTAGGACTTGAGCAACCAGCCAGCCACATTTCAATGTCAAATTACATAGTCACCTCTTCAATAGTCTATATTTTTATGATATTAAATAACATGGACTAAATTTAAGAAATAAGGAGGTCTGCACATTGCTAAGCAATCTAAACTGGTAAAGACCAGGTGAAGAGGATTTTCAAGTAAAAGGATGTTTCTGGTTGAGCAAGATGCAACTTCTCAATGTTATTTCTGACAGAACCTAAAAAGCAAATGTTTCTACTCCAATTCAAAAATTAACTAACTATAAATGACAATTTGCATTTTACTTGCATTTACTGTTTTTAACAGCCCTTAAAATATAGCTCTTCTGATTGGATGGATTTTAAAACTTTGAAATATTTAAAATGATACAAGTCCTTGATAAATGAGGGTCTCTCCAACCATTACTTGTGCTCTCCCCTCTCAAACTTGGCATGTTATCTTATGCTTTTACTATCACATAACCTTATATAAGCTCCTTATAAAGACCATTTTTTCCCAATGCTCTAAATCATTATCAATTAGAGAAATGCAAATTAAAACAACTCTGAGGCACCACATTACAACTATCAGATTGACTAACATCACAAAACAGGAAAATAATAAATGTTGGAGAAGATGTGGGAAAACTGGAATACTAATGCATTATTGGTGGAGTTGTGAACAAATCCAACCATTCTAGAGAACAACTTGGAACTATGCCCAAAAGGCTATAAAATTGTGCATACCCTTTGATCCAGCAATACCACTTTTAGGGCTGTATGCCAAAGAAATCATACAAATGGGAAAAGAACCCACATGTACAAAAATATTTATAGCAGCTCTTTTTGTGGTAGCAAAGAACTGGATGTCGAGGTAATATCCATCAATTGGGGAATGGCTGAACAAGTTGTAGTATATGAATGTAATGCAATATTATTACGCTATAAGAAATAATGAGGGCAGCTAGATGGTGCAGTAGACAGAGCACCGGCCCTGGATTCAGGAGGACCTGAGTTCAAATCCGGCTTCAAACACATAATAACACTAGCTGTGTGACCTTGGGCAAGTCACTTAACCCCACTGCCTAACAACAAAAAAAAAGAAATAATGAGCAGGCAGATTTCAGAAAAACCTGGAAAGACTTACATGAACTGATGTTGAGTGAAGTGAGCAGAACCGGGAGAACATTGTACACAGTAACAACATTGTATGATGACCAACTTTGATAGACTTGGCTTTTCTCAGCAATGCAATCATCTAAGACAATTCCAAAAGACTCATGATGGAAAATGCTGTCCACATCCAGACAAAGAACTATGGAGTCTGAATGCAGATCAAAACATACTATTTTCTCTCTCTCTTTTTTTCCCCTTTCTCGTGTTTTTTTCCATTTGGCTCTGATTCTTTTTCACAACATCACTAATGTGGAAATATGTTTAATATGATTGTACATGTATAACCTATATCAGATTGCATGCCATCTTGGGGAAGGGGAAAAATTTAGAACTCAAAATCTTATTAAAGTGAATGCTGAAAACTAAAAATAAATAAATGTTTTTTAAAAAGAACTATTTTTCTAATGAATATGTTCCTTCTCTTTTCCCATAGTGAGTTTTATCTATCAAATATCATCTGAACAGAACTTAAATACCATTATTGTAACCAGAATAAACTCATACAAAGACAATGAATGTTGTGATATGTTTTGGCCCATATGTCTTTTTAGAGGCTCAAATGTGGGGTCATTCAATGCCAATAAAACTTTTACCTCAAACTTAGGTTGGGCAGAAAAAAACAACCAATCCGAAGAAGAATCCTTCAACTGGTGTCTCAGACAAACTGGGACCAGGGAACGACCTTAGCTTAAAAGGGCCAAAGTCTGCCCACTGTATCTGGGGACATCTCCAGTTGTCCTGACTATGGTTTGCCACAGTACTCAGATAACTCTGGAGAAGAGAGTGAGGCTGATGACTCTGCACAACCCTGCCTCACTTAAAACCAAATCACTTGCAAATCAAGACATCATCCTCCTGACCAAGGGCCCTCTAGGGAACAACAATAAAGTACTTAGAGGTTATTGTTTTGCTTATTTTTTTCTGCAAGGAGGTTAAACACTATGTTTATATCAGAGGTTCCCAAACTTATTGGGACTACTGCCCCCTTTTCAAAAACAAAAATTACTTCAGCGCCCTCCCTGGAAACCTATTTTCTTTAACTCTTTAATTTTTTTTAAAATTTACAGCATTTCAAAAACATAATATATTTTTTAATTACACATCTTAAATTTAATAATTTATTGCAAATTTGTGGTTTTTTCCTGCATTGAAATTTTGATGATGCAATATTGCATCAGGTAACCATATAGTATTGTAGTGCAAACAAGTCATCACATGCATGAATTCCTGCTGATGCATGCTGGGCTTCCCAACAATGTGCCACATGCTCACCTGCCAACACCTGTTTGTTAACACCTGTTAGCAGACTTGACCACTGATGGGTTATAATTTGCATTTTGTGTTTATTTGGGAAATAATGTAATCATTATGACTTTAACTCTGTTACACAACAGATGAAACATGTACAAACTGTTTTTCAAAATTTTCTTCTCTTTTCTTCTTTCCTTATGCTTCTACCTCCCCCTTATTTTTATTCAATGCACCTCAATTGAACCTGAGGCTACAACTGGCCCCCTGGATCATTCCAATGAACCCCAGGGGGTGGTATTGCCCACTTTGGATACCTATGGCTTATATGAATAATGGATGTGTTAAAATGGAGCTGACAATTTAATTGCTCTAGAATGGCCCTAAAATGGTTCTCCAAATCTGAGTATGGTCATTTTAAAAAAAACAGTCTGCTTATGCACAAATGGGAATATTTCCAAATATAGGTCACATTATACATATTCCCAAAAAATATGGAATGATGTCAGTTGTTTTAGTCATAGGCTGGTATGTTCAGACCTTGAATTTTTCTCTGTGTTTTTCAAATGAATAAATATAAATAGTTTCTCGATGAAAAGTTCTTTGTTCCTCTAATTCATACACTGATAAAAAAATTTTAATGTTTACAAAATAAAATTCTTGTAAGTAAGTGATACGTTAAATATGGCCTTGGAATTGTACCATTCAAATTTATCACTTTATTACTTCTAATTTGTGTGTATGGTGGTGATTCTCCAATGTTGTTCCTCACAAAGTAACATTTCCTTGGACTCATTGGGCCCTTATCTTAAAGGAATGCTGGGTCCCCAATGCCATGGTCAGGATTGCAGGTGAAAGAGATGGTGATTGCATACCGAGTACCCCAATGAACCTTTTCTACCCGATGGAGATTTTCTGAACCTGAGGTGAAGAAGGAGACTCGACCTGAAAGAAGCAGAAAGCAAATATAATTAGTGAATAAAGGGCAGATAACACTTAAAGGATGATTGGCTATTTGAAAAATGGTGTTATTTAGATCACAGGATTCATAAACTCAGGATTTGGTGTATGTATGTGTGTATGTTGGGGGTGAAGGAGGGCTACCATAAAAATAACAAATTTCATGTAATGGGAGCTACTAAAAATGAGTTAATGTACACAGAACAAAATGTTTTAATTTTGTACATGAGGAAGTCAAGTTAAGGAATGAAAGGAGAAAACAAACTCAGAGAAAAAGGCAGGAACATAAATTCTTTTTGGGGGAAAAAAGTACAAGACTAGAGTGACCCAAGTTTTAGACTGTATACTGCCATTTAGAAAATCTAGACTTTGGGGGGATTGTAAGAAGATGGCTGTTTGCTAGAATCTAGATAAACCTAGATCTGCAAAACACCATGATAAAAATGTAAAAGTATACTAATTAAAAGACTTGTATGGACTGATGCTGAGCAAAGTAAGCAGAATCAGGAGAACGTTGTACACAGTGACAGCCACATTGTGTGATGACTAATGTTGATAGACTTAGCCCTTCTCAGCAATGCAAAGATATCTCCAAAGGTGTCATAATGGAAAATGCTATCCACATCCAAAGAAAGAACGATGGAGTTTGAATACAGATCGAAGCATACTATTTGCTATTTTTTCTTTTGTTTTATTTTCCCTTTCTTGTGGTTCTTCCTATTGGTTCTAATTCTTCCTTACAACATCACTAATGTGAAAATATGTTTAATAGGAACGTATATGTATAGCCTACATCAGATTGCGTGCCATCTTGGAAAGGGAAGAAATGAGAGAGGGGAGAAAAATTTAAAACTCAAATGCTTATGGAAGTGATTGTTGATAAATTACAACAAATTAATAAAAAAAAGAGATGGCAGATTAAGTGAGGCAGTGGTTAGAAGCAAAATAGACTGCATAAAGAGAGAAGAAGAAGAAGAAGAAGAAGAAGAAGAAGAAGAAGAAGAAGAAGAAGAAGAAGAAGAAGAAGAAGAAGAAGAAGAAGAAGAAGGAGGAGGAGGAGGAGGAGGAGGAGGAGAAGAAGGAGAAGAAGAAGAAGAAGAAGGAGGAGGAGGAGGAAGAGAAGGAGGACGAGGAGGAGGAGGAGGAGGAGAAGGAGGAGAAGGAGGGGAGGGGGAGAAGAAAGAAAGAAAAAGAAAGAAAGAAAGAAAGAAAGAAAGAAAGAAAGAAAGAAAGAAAGAAAGAAAGAAAGAAAGAAAGAAAGAAAGAAAGAAAGAGAAAGAAAGAAAGAAAGAAAAGAAAGAAAGAAAGAAAGAGAGAAAGAAAGAAAGAAAGAAAGAAAGAAAGAAAGAAAGAAAGAAAGAAAGAAAGAAAGAAAGAAAGAAAGAAAGAAAGAAAGAAAGAAAGAAGTGGCATGGAGGGAAATTACAATTAGTAATCATAACTGTGAATGTGAGTTGGATGACCTCATACATAAAATGGAAGTAAATAGCAGAATGGATTAGAAACTAGAATCCAACAATATATTGTTTACAAGAGACACACTTGAAACAGAAAGACACACACACAGAGTTAAAATAAAAGTCTGGAGCAGAATCTAATATGCGTCAGCTAAACTGAAAAACGGCAGACAGTAGTAATCGTCATCTCAGACAAAGGAAAAGCAAAAATAGACCCAATTAAAAGAGATAAGCAAGGAAACTACATTATGTTAAAAAGGTACGACAGATAATGAGGTAATATCAAAAAATTTTACAGCAAGTTTCTCTGATAAAAGTCTCATTTCTCAAACATATACTAAGTATGGAACTGAGTCCAATTTATAAAAATAAGGGCCCCTCCTCAAATTATAAATAGTCAAAGGATATAAACAAGCAGTTTTCTGAAGAATAAATCAAAGCTATTTATACTCATGAAAAAATGTTCGAAATCACTACTGATTAGAAAAGGCAAATTAAAACAGCTCTGAAGTACTACCCCATACCTATCAGAAAAGACAAATGCTGGAGAGGAAAAGGGAAAATAGGTACACTAATGAACCACTAGTAGAGTAGTGAATTGATTCAACCATTCTGGAGAACAATTTGGAGCTATGCCCAAGGGGCTATAAAACTCGGATACCCAACAATACAACTTCTAGATCTATGTATCCCAAAGAAATCAAAGAAAAAGGAAGAATTTATATATGTACAAAAATACTTATACAGCAGCTTTTTTTGCAGTGGCAAAGAACTGAAAATTGAGTGGATGTTCATTAACAGGGGAACGTGGCATATGATTGTGCTGGAGTGCTATTGTACTATAAGAAATGATGAGGGAGTGGTTTCAGAAAAACGTGGCAAGATCTATATGAACTGATGCAAAGTGAAGTGGGAAAACCCAGAAATCATTGTGCACAATGACAGCAATGCTATAATGATAATCAAGGAATTACTCTTCTTTGATTTTCCCTTGTTTGGTTTTGTAATGTCTTACTAGCTGTGTGACCCTGGGCAAATTACTTAACTGCTGTGTGCCTTAGTTTCTTCAACTGCAAAATGGTAAAATAGTATTTACCCCCCAGATTTGTTGTGAGAATCAAATAAGAAAACATTTTTAAAGTGCTTAGCATAATTCCTGGTACATAGTAAGTACTCAATATATGTTTATCATCTTCTCTTCCCCTTGAGCAGTAGCAGACAAAACAATAGAACAAAAGATAGCCTTCTGATCATCTAAATTACTCCAGATATCTGTGAATAAACATAAGACAAAGGAAAATAAACTAATACCTCACAAGGAAGAGGACTTGGGATTTCCAAGAGAGAATGGAACCAAGCAGGGCGTTCAAGAAAGGAATAAAAATGGTGACAGCAGAATTTATGGCTTGCACAGCAGATATAATTGTCAAAAAGAAAAAAAAAAGCTTGAATCTACAATGCCAATGAAACAAAAGAGAAAACAACTGATTTGGGAATGCAGATATAAAGATTATAGGGCAATCTGGAAGAAGAGAAGCAAAAAAAAACAATAATGTTAAAAGAAAAAATTTCTGTACATGCAAAATACAGTCAATCTTCAACACTTACACCTTTTGCAATTTCAAGCATCTGTGTGATTTTATTAGTACTCTCATTTTCACTTTCATGTTGGCAATAACACATTTGTGACTATGTGTAGTAGAGAAGAAATGAGAGGTGTGATGCATATAAGTTTGTGGAGCATCTTTCTTTGGATATTAAGTGAGGTTGTCTTCTCTATATGTTAAAAAGGGGAGGGGGAGAGGGAAGATTATCCATCTTGTCTCCTAAGTAAAAAATATGTTTACAAAAACCTTTTGTATTTCCCTATGACAGAAGAGACAGACCAGATATTATTAAAAGTTCAATATTAATTCAAAACTCATCTTGCATCCTACCAATTTTTAAAAAGAGACCTACCAGCCCTAGGTTCCACAGTCTTGTTAAGACCTTCTTCCATGAACACAAATCGTCCTCCACCAAAGTCTTCCATATAATCTGAGAGATACAGCAATGAGGTATAATCAAAGGAACCATATGTTGTCTATAAACCGAAGAAAAGTGAAAAGAATCAGGCTGTTCGCTATTTATCTGTGGAAATGAAATCTCAAAAGTCATGTGTAAGATTTCCCATTTCTGACTGGTCCTGACATATCAGAAAGTTAATGAAAAAAATAATCAGCCCTCATTTTGGTAATCCTTTCCAAATGTCTTGACAATTTAAAAGAAGGATATACTGCCAAAGTCATTCCCAGGATAGAGGAAAAATAGATAGGTTATGATCTGGGGGGAACATTCAAATGAAATCATAGCTCTATCTGAGCTGGACTCTATTTATACTTACAATACCTCTACATTTTTTATGGGCTGCCAGAAATCCTCTGGCATGCCACAGGTGGTGCAGGCCTGCTCTATTTCATAAAATATCAAAGTATCATTTCTATATGTCATATATAGCATAATTCAATCAATATATAAGTCTTATTTTCAATATGACTTATATTCAGAGGGAACACATGAAAATGTCCTACACACACACACACACACCACACACACACACACCCTCTCACCTTATCAATATGAGGATGCCAGTATTCATCATGAGTTGTCTTGGCCTCCGTACTATTTATCCGGGAGAAAAAGGTAGGCTTTGTCAGATACATGGATGAAATGTTGATATCAAAAGCTTGACCAATTGTATGTTGAATTTTTTGCTTCACATCACTAAAAAGAAAACAACACTCACTTTAAAAATAAATTCTGCATGCAAAGTAAATGTTTTAATTTAACATGACTCCCAACAAACAATTTCATCAGTGTAGAGAGGAATTCCTGGTAAAGAAAGTCCCTACTATTCCACTGCAGATCTGCAGCTTAAGTATCTTTGATATTCACTTGGGACACTGAGAGATTAAGTGATTTACCAAGGTACATAGCCAGTAGTTAAGCTTTTCTGATCCTGCACCCAGTCCTCTATCCATTATTACTTTGTCTTTCTGCTAGGCACACACTGGATACTAAACACTCACTTACATCAAGTCATGTTCCTGGTGAATTTGCTGTAAGTCAAAATTATATAAATGCAATCTGATTTTCCCATAGGAAAAAAATAGCTTAACAAAGAAGTGGTGTTGATGGGGTGCCCCAGCATTAGGACCATACCTCTCCCCAGCCCAAAGATCATATATATCTCTGGCAGTAACTCATGAGTGGGCCCCAGTGAGGCAAACTATCTCTCCCTGTTACAAGAACAAGCTGACCTTTATCGCATTTCCCTCATACAAATAGGACTATCTTATACCAGCAGAACTTTCGTGTACTAATTCCCACAGTTACAGTACACAACTCAGAGGTCAAGCTATAGATGTCAACTCCTGAGGCCCTCCCCCTCCAGGGTTTCCAGTAGTGAATGATGCCTGTGTCCAAGGTACAGAAACTGTATATTCACCACCTAATTAGCATACTTGGCACACCACTCACTGTACTTTTTCGATATAAGCTTTAGCATCACTCCTGTTAGGTTGCAAGTTCCCTAAGGAGCTCTGCCCACCATGTTAGCCTTACAGTAAACTGTTTGCCACTTGACTATTTTGCAGACTGCTTGAGTCTGAAAATTCTCTCCAGACAACTTTGCCATGAACCTCAGTATTTTGAGGTCCCTGCACCTCTAAAACCACATCAATGTGGTATAGGTAAAGAATATCAGTCTCAGGTCAAAAGAGAAGGATTCCAGACTGGGTTCTACTTCTACACCAACTACTTGGTCTTAGGCAAATGACAACTCTTGAACCTTAGTTTCTATATAGGTAAAGTATGGGTGCTTGCTGTGAGGAACAATGAAATAATATATGTAAAAGTGCTTCCAATAACAAAGTACCTATACCTATAAGCTATTATTTACATGGAGTTATATTTTTAAAGATCATTTTATTTATTTTTAATGGATCTCTTTGGTTGTAAAATTATACACATTTTAAAAATATATTTTCCTGCCATACCTATTGAGCCATACCTTGCATAAAAGGATTTAAAAAGAAGAGGGGAAGGTCATTCAGCAAAACCAACCAACATATATAGTGTTTATAATATTTCATACCCATAGATTCTTACCACTGAAAAGAAGGGAGGGAGCTGCATTTCTTCTCCAAAACCAAACTTGGTCAGTGTAACTATGTAGTGTTCAGCATTGTTCTTTCCAGTTAACACTGCTGAAGTATGTATGTATATTATTTTCCTAACTGAAGTTCTGCTAACTTCAGTTTGTATCAGTTGGTCTTTCTGACCCTGCCATTTGATACCTACATCACTTGGGGAAAGTCAATTAAAATCTTAGGGCCTCAGTTTCTATATCTATGAAGAGAGAGTAATGGCCTTTAAAGTTCTTCCTAGATTTAAATCTTTGATGCCTGGATCCTACCTGAATCCCTATGTTTCTTTTAATTCTTCATATTTGCCATTTCTTATATATCTTATATTTCTTATATATCCCATTACATTTGAAGATGATGACCAATTTTTAAAATGAATTCTACTGCAAGTAATATCTCCATATAATCGAAAATTTTCTAACATATGTCAATTACACATGGCAACATAGTATTCCATCACATAAAATCATATTGGTCTGAATAAAGGACAAACTTTTTCCACAAATCTAGTTTATATGATCAGGGTTACTTTTCATTACCCATACATTTCTTCTTTTCAAAACTACATATTTCTTTTTATTTTCAAAGAGATTCCCTTTAAGGAGTTTGACATACATAGCACCATGGTATAGTACACAGAATTCTTATTCTGAAATTTCTGCTTTATTTTTATTGCAACAACTCAGAAGGCGAAGCATCACTGTCATCAGATCTAGAGAATATATGAAGATTTATGAGTTGAGATTTTGAGAAGCATCAATACAAAGATTTAGGGAATTTAATGTTTTTTGTTGGGGTAAGAAAGTGATTTAGGGGTATCTGATTTCCTGAGGGTAGCTCATTGCAAATTCCCCTACAGTAAACAAACTAAATAATTAATTAATTCAACAAACACATTAAACGCCTACTATGTCCAAGGTACTGGGGGCGGCAGGGGGAAGCAATCTTGAAGGACCATGGTACATTTATTATGGATTAAGTTATTGATCATTCCAGGGACTTAAAGACAGATAATCTCTCTGGTTTTATATGTCATCAATAGTTACAACTTCCTGGTATTTAGTTAATAAGCATTTATTAAGTATCTACTATGTGCCAGACACTGTGCTAAACACTGGGGAATATAAACATTAAAAAGTATGATGCAATATCAACGCAATGATTATCAATGTGGCATTTATAAATATGTGAGAGGGATATATAAGTCATCTGGCAGTAAGATTGAAGGCTAGACATTTTGTCCTATTCTTCCTGGCTCTCAAAAACTCCCCTAAAAGAGTGGGAACTGTGGCAGAGGAAAAGCAGTTACTGCTTTATAGGCCAAGACCCTAAAAAGCCTAACAAGGTAACAACCTTATGAAGTAACAGCCGAGAACTTTAATCCTTAACTTATCTACTAAGTGCTTTCCACCATTAGCCCTCATTTTGTTGCAGGGCAAGCAAACTCAATATACTAGCATATGCTTTGGGATATCCTCACCATTGATAACGCATGGCATATGTGGTGCAATGCACTGATGAAAGTATTTTCTAAAAAAAGCTGAGACTGAAAGAATATAAAATCTCTCTAAGTGAAAGAAATAACTTTAAATATTTAGAATGTAACAATAACTGACATTTATGTAATGCTTTAAATTTTGTGAAGTATTTTATACTCATTACCATATATTCATTACTGTATCCTTTAGTTTCCATACATATTTTTTTGGGGGGGTCAGGCAATCAGGGTCAAGTTACTTGTCCAGGGTCACACAGCTAGTAAGTGTCATGTATCATGTGTCTGCGGCTAGATTTGAACTCAAGTCCTCCTGACTCCAGGGCTGGTGCTCTATCCACTGCACCACCTAGCTGCCCCTGTATCCTTTAGTTTAAACAACAGCAATGTGAGCTAAGCATTATTTATATGGGGAAAACTGCAGCTCATGAAGTTTAAGTTACTTACTCATGTGTACCTAGTAAAGTAGCACAAATAAACACAAACTATAAAACCTAGTATTAAAAGGATAAGGAGAAAGAAGTTTGAATATACACTGCTGGTGACTATGAAATTGGATAAGTCTTTCTGGACATGAATCTGGCTACCAATATATAAAAATATTGTAGAATTGTTCACACCCATTAATTATACTCTAATTAATGTTGACCCATTAATTACAATCCAGTATTTAAATCTCAAGGAAGTAACCAAAAAAAGTGAAAAAAATGAATTTATAAAAAGATGTTCATGGCAATGCTGTTATTATAACATATAAAATTAGAAGTACGATATCAGCACTAATACAAATATGCTTTTTAAAAAACATATACATTATACAGTAATACAGGATGATAAATAACATATATCAGTAGGATTACTAAACCAGAGTATTTTACAACTTCTGTTACATTACCAGATAGTTCAACAAAATGACTATAGCTATGGGCAAGTAGGTGATGAAGTGGATAGAGCAGTCCTAGTATCAGAAAAACCTGAATTCAAATCCAACCTCAGACACTTACTAGATGTGTGACCCTGGGCAAGTAACTTAACCCCAATTGCCTTCTCCTCCCCTCTCACCACACCTACCCTCAAAATGACTATTGCTATACATGTGGTATTTATGTGTAAAGTACGTATGAATATTACTTTCTACAACTATTTCTATTTCAGTTTGTTTAAACTTCCAAAATGTAGACTTAAAGGGAATACCTGTTTTCATTTTTCATTTAAACTAAAAGACTAAAAATGTAGTTGGGCTACTTTAATGTGTGAAATACGGACTAGTCATAAACATTTCATTTACACAAAAATACCCAGGTTGGATATTCAGAACAAAACCATTGGAAATACAGCTATAACTGAAAACAGACAGACATTAAGTGATCTGCTCAGGATCACAGAGCTTTAATTGTCTGAGGCTAGTTTTGAACCCAGGTCTACCTGACTCTAGGCCCTGCTTTCAATCTAATAGATTAGTTTCCTCAATTCCTTCAAAATTTCCTCTATCTTTAACTAAGACTGATCTTAAGTATCTAATAAAAGGCAAACAAACAAAATCTGAATCAAATTACTAACTTTGATATTCAAAATAGAAAGTATGCATCTAAGATGATTATTCTTTTACCTTACTTTCTCATAGTATAAAAAAATATTATTGCCAAACTTAACATTTTAAAATTAGGGTATATGCGCCCATGTGTGAGTGTGGTGTGTGTGTGCGTGCGCGTGTATGTGTGTGTGATCTCACAAAGATCAGCTCAAATTCACAGCTGAATTTGTGAATGTGTATTACCAAAGACAAATTGCACAATTTCATTTCTTAAGTAGCTGGACGTGGACGTTCATAGATCATTAAAAGTAGACAGGAAATTTAGATAATGTATGAGTTGTCACTAATATATCCCTTTTTCTCTGGATCCAATTTCCTATCTCTTCAGTGTAATCTAGTGTAAATCCACTTTTTGCAGTCAGGCCATTCTTACATTTGATCTGTGGCTAATTATCCACCAAAATGACACGTATTCAAAGACACGTGCTGTATTTCTTGAATTGCCCCAATACAGACAGCTTGAACTCAAAATTTAAACAAGAAGATCTTTCTAGAGCCTAACACTAATGAATTCAAGAATGGATTTTGCTTTGACTCCTTTGAATTATTTTACCGGTATAACTGAAAATCCTCTTCTGAGAAGATATCTTGAATTTTTGCCCCAAAGTATCTGTAAAAAACAAAAATATCTTAATAAAAAGACATGACTCACATTATACCCTTTCTACCTATTTTCCTTACTGTCTTTAACACCACCTTCTCCTCCACCATTTAGCTAATTAATGTACCAAGAGAAAATTCCTGAAAACTAACATGTCCTTTAAAAAGAAATTGTTTAAAGCTGGTACAGTAACAAAAAAAAAAAAAGATCTCAGAGTTAAGAAAAATAAATACTGGTTTCCTCTCCCAACAAAAGTAAAGGCATCTCAGTTTATGAAAGGAAGTGGAATGAATCAGTTTGGTACAGTAGAAAGAACATTGGGTTTTGAGTCAGAGGACTTGGGAATCCAATCCTGCCTATGCCACTCCCTCTACAGGACCCTGCCCGAGGCACTCAACCTTCCTAGATTTCAGCTTCCTCATATGTAAAACAGAGGGTCGGACAAGGAGTCCTCTGAAGTTCCTTCCAACTCCAAGTCTATGATCCTATGAATTGGTGTCTTTTACTACTGACACAGTCACTCAACTAAAAACTGAACAGCACAAATTCACCTAAGATGACTTCCTTTTTTTACCCATCCATCTCACCCATTCTTTTTTTTTTAAATATTAATTTATTTATTTTTAGTTTTCAATATTTACTTCCACAAGATTCTGAGTTCCAAATTTTCACCCCATCTCACCCCTCCCCCCACCCCCAAGATGGCATGCATTCTGAATATCCCTTCCCCTAGTCTGTCCTCTCTTCTATCTCTCCACCCCTTCTCTTATCCCCTTCCCCTTCTATTTTCCTGTAGGGCAGGACAGACTTCTGTACCCCATTTCCTGTATTTCTTATTTCCCAGTAGCATGTGAAAACATTTATTTTAAACATATGTTTTTAAAACTCTAGATTTCAAATTTTCTCCCTTCCTCCCTCCCCACCCACCCTCATTGAAAAGGCAGGCAACTCAATATAGGTTATACATGTGCAGTTATGCAAAACACTTCCATAGTAGACATGTTGTGAAAAACTAACTCTATTTCCCTTAATCCTATCCTGCCCTCCCATTTATTCTATTCTTTCTTTTGACCCTGTCCCTCCTCAGAAGTATTTGCTTCTGATTACCCCTTTCCCAATCTGCCCTCCTCTCTATCATCCCCCTGCTCTCTTGTCCCCTTCTCCCCTATTTTCCTGTAGGGTAAGACAGATTTCCATACCCAATTGAATGTGTATGTTATTCCCTCCTTAAGCCAAATCCTATGAGAATAAGATTCACTCATTCCCTCTCACCTTCCCATTTCCCCTCCACTGTAGAGACTTTTCTTTTCTGTTTTTTTTGTGAGATAATTTACCCCATTCTACCTCTCCCTTTCTTCTCTGAGTATCATCCTCTCATCCCTTAATTTTATTCTCCAGATATGACCCCTTAATCTTCAACTCACCCTGTGCCTCTATCTATCTATCTATCTATCTATCTATCTATCTATCTATCTATCATCATCATTAATTTTTTCCTTCCAACTACCCTAATACTGACAAAGTCTCATGAGTTAAATATCATCTTTCCATGCAGGAATGTAAACAGTTCAATCTTAATAAGTCTCTTATGATTTCTCTTTCCTGTTTACCTCTTCATGTTCCACTTGAGTCTGTATTTGAAAGTCAAATTTTCTATTCAGCTCTGGTCTTTTCATCAGAATGCTTGAAAGTCCTCTATTTCACTGAATGACCTTTTTTCCCCTGAAGGATTATACTCAGTTTTGCTGGGTAGGTGATTCTTGGTTGTAATCCTATCTCCTTTGCCCTCTGGAATATATATTCCATGCCCTGGTCCTTTAATGTAGAAGCTGCTAAATCTTGTGTTATCCTGATTGTGTTTCCACAGTACTTGAATTGTTTCCTTCTGGCAGCTTGTAATATTTTCTCCTTGACCTGGGAACTCTGGAATTTGGCTACAATATTCCTAGGAGTTTTCCTTTGGGGATCTCTTTCAGGAGGAGATCTGTGGATTCTTTCAATTTCTATTTTGCCCTCTGGTTCTAAATATCAGGGCAGTTTTCCTTGATAATTTCTTGAAAGATGATGTCTAGGCTCTTTTTTTGATCATGGCTTTCAGATAGTCCAATAATTTTTAAATTCTCTCTCCTGGATCTATTTTCCAGGTCAGTTGTTTTTCCAATGAGATATTTCACATTGTTTTCTAATTTTTCATTCTTTTGGATTTGTTTACAGTGTCTTGATTTCTCATAAAGTCACTGTCTTCCAATTGCTCTATTCTAATTTTTAAGGAAGTATTTTCTTCAGTAACTTTTGGACTTCCTTTTCCATTTGGCCAATTTTTCTTTTTAGGGCATTTTTCTCCTCATTGGCTTTTTGGACCTCTTTTGCCATTTGGGTTAGGCTATTTTTTAAGGTGTTATTTTCTTCAGTATTTTTTTGGGTCTCCTTTAGCAAGCTGTTGACTTGTTTTTCACAATTTTCTTGTATCACTCTCATTTCTCTTCCCAGTTTTTTCTCTACTTCTATTACTTGGTTCTCAAAATCCCTTTTGAGCTCTTCCAAGGCCTGAGACTGATTCATATTTTTCTTGGAGGCTTTGGATGTAGGAGCTTTGACTTTGTTGTCTTCTTCTGGTTGTATATTTTGATCTTCTTTTTCACCAAAGTAAGATAATATAGTCTGACTCTTTTTGCGCCGCTTGCTAATGATCCCGGCCAATTACTTGAGTTTTAAACTCTTTATTAAGGTAAAAGTCTGCTTCCAATGTGGAGAATGTACTGTCCCAAGCTTCATGGGTTTGTACAGCTGTTTTCAGAGATAACTGTAGGGACCTACAAATTTTTAGTTCTTCCAAGGTAATATGATAAGGGGCAGGGTGTTTACTCCTTTCTGTCCTGGAACTGTGAGGAAGGTTTTCTCTCCACAACCACTACAAGCTCCACCATGCCAGAGGTCCTCTCCTTACCCCAGGACCGCCACCCAGAACTGTGACCCAGATTCAAGCAGGGTCAAAGCAAGAGATTCCTGCCTCAGCACTGGCAAAGAGATCCCTGCAATCCCTCTTTGATCAGCCACTGGATTCCCCCTCAGTCTATGGACAGGAAGCTCAGGAGGCAGCTGCCCCCCCAGTGCCACGCTCCTGGGGAATGGAGCTGAGACCCTGCATTCCTCTCTCAGCACCGCAGAAACAGACATTTCCCACTGACCTTCTAAGTTGTCTTTGGCATTAGTGGATTGAGGAGTTTGGAAACTGCCACAGCTGCCCGCGATTCAGTCTTCTGAGGCCTGCTCCAGGTTCACTGCGGCCTGCGCTACATTCCTCTCCCAGCCTGGCACGATATACCTTTCTGATCAATCATGTAGGTTGTCTTGGGCTGGAAATTTGTTTCACTCTGTCTTTTTGTGGGTTCTGCTGCTTAAGAATTTGTTCACAGCCATTTTTTATGAATATTTGGAGGGGTTTGGAGGAGAGCTCAAGCAAATCACTGCTTTCACTCTGCCATCTTGGCTCCACCTCCCCATCTCACCCATTCTTCAAGGCCCAGGTAAAGATGTATTTCCAAGAAGCCGCTCTAAACTATTCCAAACCACATCAAGCTCTCCTGTCTATGAACTGGTATTATAACTATACAAAGTTTAAGTGTTAATTGCTCTCTAATGCTACATGAGCACACCTAGTCTCCTCAATTAGATTATAAATTGCTTAAAGTAAAAGGCCAAGTCCTACTTTTTTTTTTCAATTCTTCAGAGCAGTTTAAAAAATTCTGAGAATACTATATTTGTTCAATAAGTACTTTCTAACCTTGTTCAGTCTTTTTCATTCATACCCAACTCTTCATGAAACCATTTGGAGTTTTCTTGGCAGTAATACTGGAGTGGTTTGCCATTTAATTTTACAGATGAGGAAACTGAGGCAAACAGGGTTAAGTGACTTGCCCAGGGTCACACAGATTGTAAGTGTCTGAGGCCAGATTTGAACTCAGGAAGATAAGTCTTCCTGACTCCAGACCCAGCACTCTATCCACGATGCCATGTAACTGCCCACAACCTCAGAAAATTTATAAATGAAATTAATAGGCTATAAACTTTCTGAATTAACAAAAATGAGGTTGAAGCTTAATAAAGAGGCCTATGGCTAGGAATGCTGGAATGAAATGCCACAGAAGTTATTTTCTGAGCAATACCTACTGTAAAAATTAATTCAATCTCATATATGTCTACGATATAACAGAATATTAGGCTAGGCATGTTTTATTATTACCTGTATAGATTTACAAAATGCTTTCCAAAAGAAAGTGCTCCAGAGTGTAAGTCTAAGATGGAAGCCTGGAAAATATTGAGAATGAAATGAAAACTTAGTAATGAAATAGCAGAAAAAAAAATTTATTGACTCAACTGAGGGATATCCATAGCATCACTATCTTGTTTGCGTAAGAAAACAATTACTTTTTACACTCTGGTGTATACACTTGTTCATTTACTTATTTACTATTTCCCTATATTTAACATTAGGTTTTTTTCTTCTTTCCTTCCTAATTAGTATTTTCTTTAGTTGTTAATAAATTTATAGGAATCTCGTCATTCCAATCTTGAAGTTAGAAATGGAGGAGGAAGAAAGTGGTAGAGCACAGGCTTAGAAGTAGATATGAAGGCTATAAATTGCATAAGAATTTATAAATAAACTGTTGGACAAATATCATTCCCATTTTGATTCTAAATTGTATTCCCTAAATCTTTTCAAAGTCCAAGTAACAGGAAAACAATTTAATCCAAAACCTAAAAGCCAATGTTGTATTTATGGCTTACATTTCTCTGGTTAAAACTTCATTAAAAAACCACTAGAAGGGATGTGGGAAAATAAATATATTAATGCACTGTTGGTGGAGCTATAAACTGGTCCAAAAAGATCGAAGAAAGAGGAAAAAGACCCATATGCACAAAAATATTACAGCAGCTCTTTTTGAGGTAGCAAAGAATTAGAAACTGAAGGGATGCCTATCAGCTGGGGAATGGTTAACAAGTTATGAATATGATGAAATACTATTGTGTCATTAAAAAATATGAAAGAGATGGTTTCAAAAAAACCTAGAAAGGCTTATATGAACAGATACAAAGTGAAGTGAGCAGAACCAAGAGAATAATTTACACAGTAACAACAAAATTATAAAGATGATCAACTGACAAAGACAGTAACTCTGATGAACACAATAACCCACCACAATTACAAAGGACTCACAGTGAAATATTATGCTATCCACTTCCAGATAGAGAACTAAGATAGATGATCTAAGATTGCATATTGAAGCATATTTTTTCTCTTTCTTTTTCTTGCTTTTTTTTTTTTAATTTGGGAACATGGCTAATTCGGAAAGTCATTTTTCATGAATGAAATATTTGTAATGGGTTTTGTATTTCTTTCCTTCTCAGCGGATGGTGGGAAAGAGTGAGGGGAAGGAGAAAATTTGAAACTGAAAATAAAACCAAATTTCGACAATTCATAAAAACTTTCTTGATACCAACACAATTATAGAAAGATTGATATTTTCTTTTTTTTCTTTCAGCCTAAAGATACATGAATTTTTTTGTTTTCTCAAAGAAGCTGTTTCATAAACATTTTTGCAATATGGTGAGGAACTGATACTATTATGTAAAATTTTTATTTAATACTGAAAATTTAGGAAAAACTCTGACAGTAATTCTTTCAAAGGCATTCACATTTCTCAAGGCCTTTTGTGCTTTTGCCAAAAGTAAATTAGCTTTTAACAAATGGAGGTTAGAGAGGATTACTTAATCAAGGAGTTCCCTAATGCTTTATGATAACAGTCCTAATCATAAATCATACCATTTTTAATTTCTGTTTGTTTGATATAAAATAACTTTTCAATTCTGGGGGCATGGGCCAAAGAAGAGGAGGAAAGTCTGCATCAAATTTAGAGGAACTATTGTGTCCCACAAAATCCACTCCTGTCTTAGTAGACATTCATGAGGGAAAAGGAGAACAGAGAGAAGAGGGGACAGAGAAATAGAGGTGTCTCATGAATATGACCATTAAGAAATATACGTATTTTTCAGTACTACATTCACCTTAATAAAAAAAATCATAAGTTGAGGTATAGATAAATGGAAAATAAACATTTAAAAGAAGAAATACTAAACCCATTCTTCACAGAACCTAGAGCACAATCAAAAGACACAGAATTAAAGATACAATAGTAAAATCATAAAGAATGAGTGGGTCAAAGAAAATAATGTAGAAACAACAATTGTGTGAAAGATCATGATAATGACAATATATAAAAATTTCTGAGATGTAGCAAAAGTCTTCATAGGAAAAATGATATTCCTAAAGATATGTAGTAACAAAAAAGAGAAGTTTAATGAAATGAACAAGCAGTTTTTAAAATTACAAAACAAATAAGCAAACCCTCACAAAGAACAAGAGAAGAAATATTGAAAATTAGGATAAATAAGACCAAATGGAATCCAAAAAAGGCTACATAACTAATGAAACTAAAAAAAAAGGGTTTCTTTGAAAAGACTAAGAAAAATCACAAAAAGAGAGAAATGAAATTAACCCCCCAAAATGAACAAAATAAAACCATAATAACAGAAAAGAATTAAAGAGAAACAGAATGTAAAGGTAAGATAGAGAACTATAAAAACTAAATAGAGGGAAAAGACTAAAAGTTACCAAAGATCTCAGGAGGAAGAAAACTCAATTAAAGAACTTGAGCATCAGCAAATAAAAAAGGGATGATACTGATATCCAAAGAGAATAAATGAACATCAGGTAAAAGAATATTAATATATGCCCAAATATTTCAAGCCAAAGGAAAATGTATCAACATCTGATAAGGCACAGGACACTATGTATTCCCAAATGATCACACATTAGGATTTAAAATTATTCTTAAGAATTAAGAAAGCACTTCACCAGATGTCTTATGTGACATAAATATTATTCTAATACCCAGGAAGGATAAAACAAAGATGTATATCAGCAATATCATTAATTAATAAATATTAAAAAATTTTAAATAAAATCCTGTTGAACAGACTATAATCATTCATCCAGGAAATCATTTATTATGATTAAGCTGGATATACTAGGTGTGATTCAATATTAAGAAAATAATCAACATAATCATACTAAAAACAAAAAAATCCAAAACCACATGATTATCTAAATAGATATAGAAAAATCCTTTGACAAAGTACAATACCCAATTATGCTAAGGGGGAAAAAAGCCCTCCAAATCAAAGGCTTCTACAGAAAGATCTTTTTTTTCTTATAACAGAACCAAAAACACGTATCCCATTCAGTGGGCATTCTGCAATAATTTTCTTAATAAATACAGTAGTAAAGATGCCTTTCCTCAGTATTATTTGAAATAATTCTACAAATGCTAGCAAGGACAAAAAAACTGAAGTTGTAAAAATAAAGAGGAAATAAAACTATTCCTATTTGATTATATATTTATCCCTGACAGTTTAAAAAATTTTAGCAAAGTTGCAGGATCCAAAATGAACACACAAAAAAAATCAACAGTACTTCTATATAAAAATAACAAAATCCAAGAGACAAGTGATAAAAAGAGCAATGATTCAAGAGAGCAGGTGGGGTAATTTGGTCTTTGGGTATCTAAGAACTCTGAATGACACTAACTGTACCGGTTGGTGCCTTTTATATTCATAGGTGACCAGAAATCCTTATAAAGAGAGGCAGAGGCTATCATAAAGCTACTTCAATGGAGATAACAGATTGAATCTTTCCCCATCCTGCCAATTAAGTTCTGCTTTGTCAGCTCAAGTTGACATGTGAAATGGTGGGGTCCCTGATAGACACTGACCCTATTACACCATGTCAAAGTAACATCATTCTTTTTTTTTTTTAAACGGGATTATTTACTTAACTAGTAGATGACGGTGATGCTGTGGGTATATTCACCTGAGTTTTAGCAAAGCTATGGCCCACTTTACTTTTCTCATCAAACTTCCTCTGAAGTACTGTGTTCAGTTCTAAGCAACACAATTTAAAAAGGAAGTGAAAAAACTAGAGAGTATGAAGAAGAGGAGAACCAAAATCATGAAAGACCTTGAGTCCAAAATAGATGAAGATCAAGTGAAGGAACTGGACATCATTAGCCTGGAGAATATTCAAATAGGACATGATGGCTATCTTCAAGTCCTTTACGGATTACATTAGGTGGAAGATGGAAGATGAAACACTGTGGAAAATGTGGCAGGCTGTTCTGTTTAGCCCCTAAGGTCAGAACTTAGTAGCAATATATGAAAGTTACAAAAAGGTAAACTTGGGCTGGCTGTCACAAAAAATATAAACAAATTAATAATTAGAGCTGTTCAAAAGAGGGGTGGTAGGTTCCCCCCTCCTCACAGCTCTTCAGAGAAGGGGCTAGATGACACCTGAACAAGTATGTTATGATGGGGATTCCTTTCATATATGGACTGGAATAGATGACCACTGAGGACCATTTCAACTTTTAGATTCCGTAATTCTCTAATTCTAGGTGTCACTGTTAGAAGAGACCTTACAGATCAGGCAGTGCAGCTCCTTCATTTATCAATAAAAATTTTTTTTAAAAATTGACTTTGAACAATTGGAAAATATGTAATAAATAAATAAATGTGTGTGTGCGTGTGCGTGTGCATATGCGTGTGTGTAAATAAACACAAAAGGGCAGCTAAGTAGCTGCCTGGGCCTGGAGTCAGGAAGACTTATCTTCCTGAGTTCAAATCTCAGATACTCATCATGTGACCATGGGCAAGTCACTTAACCCTGTTTGCCTCAGTTTCCTCATCTGTAAAATGGGCTGGAGAAGCAAATGGGCAACCACTCTAGTAGCTCTACCAAGAAAACCCCAAATGGAGTCACAAAGAATCAGACATGACTGAAAAATGACTAACAACAAAACTTAAGGGTAGCTAGGTGGCACAGTAGATACAGTGTTGGGCCTGGAGTTAGGAAGACCTAAGTTCAAATACAACCTCAGACACATATTAACTGTGTGATCCTGGGCAAATCACTTAACCCCATTTGCCTCAGTTTCCTCATCTGTAAAATGAGCTGGAGAAATGGAAATGGAAAACCACTCTAGTATCTTTGCCAAGAAAATGCCAAAAAGGGGTCACAAAGAGTCAGATGACTGAAAAATAACAAAAATAACACAAAAAACATAATTTACTAAAACAAAATCTTCAGCCTTTCATCCAAGTATCTCAAAAAACTCTACAAATATCACTACTTTCACAAATGTCAACAACACTTTTACTCTCACGATTTATAGAATACTATGGAAGCAACAAAATGCCATTAAGGAATGGTAAGAGGGCCTGTTAGAGGAGGAAAGGAAAGATTAAAAAAATGGAAGAAACAGTCCCTCTAGGCTTAGAAAGTTTATAATCATGTTACTAATATAGACAGTATAATACATGAAAAAGACTTAAGAGCACTAAACATGAAAAAAACCTTAAGTTCTATTAAAAAGCAAGGACTTTTAGATGCTCCTGGAGGGAAGAAATAGAATTTTTGTTTTTATATGCCACATTTATTGTATAGCTATAAATAACAAAAATCTCAGATTTAATCTCAGAAGTACTGAAAATGATCATCACCCAGATGTCAACAAAGAGATGCAATGTAAATGAATGAACAGATTGCAACAGATAAAAAACAAGGAATTAAGGAAAAGCAGAATAAAAGATGAGTGAAAAAGAAGATAGGAGTCATACGGTGAGAGCATGTGATAACAGATGGGATAGTCCACGTGTTTCTTCCACTGGTATCCTCACAATGTTAACAGAAATCAAGGAAGGTTCCTCAATACACTGGGTGAATGCTGTATGGCAAAATGTAGGGGGACATGAAAAAGAGTCATATAGGATAAGTAGGTATGGATGGGTTGCTATCTATGTCATTGGATGGAATATTCACATCGATGAGATCACAAGTCATCCACTTAAGAATCTCACTATGGGGGCAGCAAAGTAACAGTGAATAGAGCACTGGCCCTAGAGTCAAGAGGACCTACGTTTAAACCTGGCCTCAGATACTTACTAACTGTGTGACCCTGAGCAAGGCACTTAACCCCAACTGCCCCAAAATAAATAAATGAGTAGAAATAAAAAGTAGCTCACTATGGCAAGCACAGAGTAGTCACTTAATAAATTACTTTTGAATTGCAATATCTGTTGAATTTACAGACAAATATATAAAGAGAGTGAAAACATATGTAAACTTCTTGGATATGGCCAATGTAGGAATATATTTTGCTTGACCATGCGTATTTGTTACGAGAGTTTTCTTTTCTTTTCTTTTTTTCAAATGACTGGAGAAGTGGCTAGGAGGAAGAAGGGGACTATGGAAGGGAAAGAAAGAAAGAAGGAAGGAAAGAAAAAGGAAAAAAGGAAGAGAAAAAAGAGAGAGAAAAGAGAGGGAGAGAGGTGAAAAAAGAGTCATTGAAGGGAACAGAAGTCCTAAGTCTAAGCAGAACAGCTCTTAAAAGTTAAACGCAAAATTCACTGTATGCTTAAAAGGAAAAGCAAATTGTATATAATAATTTACAGTTTCATGTACAATCCTCTTTTTCTGTTCCATAGGTATATGGAAGTGCTAATTTTATTTGGTGTTTAAATTCAGAATTAAAAGAATTAACAAAACAAAAAAGAAAATTCATGTAAACTCTTCATTAATAGAGATGATGACAGGGAATAATCCAAAGTAGCAAGTACTCCGAAAGTGCTAGATTTTAGTAAATCTTTTAATACAGGCAGTTTCCACTTTTCAATGCTATGCTTATTTAATGTTGTGGTATAGTGGAAACAACATTAGACTTGAAATCAGGATCGCTTAATAGCAGGGGGAAGGATGACATATCCAAATGCTTCATTACTAGCTGATTTACTTGTTCTGAATCCACAAAATAAGGATAAGACATATACTACCTAACATAAAAGGTTTTTCTTCAGAGGGTGCTTATTAAAATTTTAAATCAGCATATAAAAGGGAAATGCAGTGGTTGTTATCCACTCATTTCAAAATTTCCAGCGTTAGCCATACAGATGAAGGCAATGATGATACATACTCAGGATACAGGGAACATGAGTCAGGGCTTCTTCTTACAACAATCCACTTCAAAAGTGAATAGCCAAAAATACACTGTGTCTCACTATAATCTAAGACCTCCTCACTTATATTTGAATATATTATGACAGACGTGCTAGAAATTCATTATAGAAGGATCATTAATTTAGAGATAGATATATGAAACCCTAGAAATCTTCTAGTTCAAACCCCTTATTATAAAGATGAAGAAACTGAGGCCTAGAAAGGTTAAGCAAACTGTTACAAGTCACAGAGGCAATAGAGAGCAGAGTCAGGATGTGAACTCATTCTCTGACTCTAAATCCAGTGTTCTTTCCACTACTACACTGCTTCCCTCTTGATGCCATCAATATCTCAAAATTGAGACAATAGTGTAAAGAAGACCTGATTCAGGAGGCTCTGGAAAATTGTCCTGCATTAGACATTATATCAATCGCTCAAATTATCCCTGCTACCTATTACATGCTCAAAACAGATGGTAACGCCTTTCAGAATGATACAAAATATCAACTAAAGAGAACAATCTAATCTCTAAATGTGCTGTGCTTTGGCTTAAGAAAATCATCTAGGGGCAGTTAGGTGGCACAGTGGATAGAGCACAGGCCCTAGAGTCAGGACGACCTGAGTTCAAATTTGACTTCAGACATATTAACAATAGCTGTGTGACTCTGGGCAAGTCACTTAACCCTGTGAGAGATGATCTCTCAGAAGTGAAGCCTCCTCAAAGGATCATTAGTTCTTGTTAATGGTTCTGGTATTGTTGCTTTTGACTGGTACATGTGCACCAACACTAAATGAAGACCCCTCAGAATACAAGACCTCCTCCCCCAGCCTTCTCCCTCCCCTACTCTTAGACAGTGTTAGCAGAAATTCCTGAGCCATAAGAGCATCCTGTCTACCTCATCCTCTAGCTAGTTATATGACTTTGGGTAAAAGGCTGCTGAAACTATGAGGCCCTGAAAAGGGGAACATGCTAGCATAATTTCTATACCTCTTTGTTCTCTCTGTTACTGGGGTAGTTTTTACATGAATAGATTGTATACCTGAGGCTCAGTCAATGAGCTGACAGGAAGGGGGTTAGGGTGGGCTGCTGCATTAGGGTCTATATAATCTTGCCTTAAACAAAGAGCACTCACACTCTCGGGACAGCTTAGGCAGCACAGTGGTGCACTTTCTCCAGAAAGTCAATAAAGAGATCTCTCCTTTTTGCAAACTTTTGTCAAGACTCTGGTTTTTAACTGAGTAAAACAATGTAAACAATGTAAACAATGTGAGCTCTCTCAGATGGACTGAGTGTAGCAATGTCTTAGACTGTTGCAAACTCAAGGTTCGTTATACTAGGCCTATTCAGATAGGCCTAAGTTTCAGGTTCCTAGAAATCACATGATTTGTATTGTTACATCAGCATTAGGTAATGGCTAATTACTAAATAAGGATAAATAGCTAGGATTGGTAGTATTATAATGTGGTTTCCTGTTTCTGGGGTAGAGTTTCACGTTTTAGACTGTAAGGCTGAAATTCCTATCCAATGGGAATTCAAAGCCAGTGCTGGGTGGGTATCTCTGCGTTAGGGCTATATAACCTTTGTTCTGGCCTTTGTGCCTTGCCTCGCTTCGCTGGGGCTGCTGAATGAAGCAGACACCCGCTTCTCTCGAGAACGTAATAAGTCTTTCACTTTATACCTAGAAAATCTCTGGGTGTTATTTTTGGGCAGCTGTACCACACAACCCCAACTGCCTCACACACAAAAAATCATCTAGATCTTTACTACTGTTAAAGTTTATACAAAACTTCATAAATTTATTGTCTATTTCATTAACTTGTACTTCTGTTGTTTAGTCGTTTTTAGTAATGTCCAATTTTTTTGACCCCCTTTGGGGTTTTCTACAAAGATACTGGAGTGGTTTGCCATTTCCTTCTCCAACTCATTTTACATATGAGGAAACTGAGGCAAACAGGGCTAAGTGACTTGCTCAGCGTCACAAAGCTAGTAAATATCTGAGGCTGTATTTAAACTTAGGAAGATGAGTCTTCCTGATCTAGACCAAGCACTCTATCCACTGTAACAACTAGATGCCCCTGTACTTCTGTATCAGAATACAAAATCTTTTTCTCCTATGGTTCTTTCACTTTTGTAGCAATTATTCTCATACCGAAGATTTATATGGAGAATAAGTGGCAAGGGCTAAGTGAAAAAACACAACATGTTTCGATGCAAATCTCAATTAAAAGAAGAAACGAAAGGTGAATAACACACATATAAGTTTACAGTGACTAGATAATAATAATGACTGGTTAGCAAATAAGTATTTCTGCGTTTCAAACCCCACATGGAGACAACCAAGAAAGAAAAAAATATTCTCTCCTTCCTGGCAGCTTTTCATTTCCTCCCAAGAAATTAAAAATTCTTTTCAAACTTTAAAAAAAGCAAAATAAAACAGTAATAGTACAACTCACCCCTCCTTCAGATCCTCCTAGTGACAATCCCTTTTCAGCTATACTGTATAGAGAAAGAATTTCAGATGAGAGAATATGTTAAAATTTTTCACACTACTATTTACTATATTCCTAAACAAAATATCAGAGTGAGCAACTTTAAGGTAACAGATTTTGTTTAATTTATAATAACAGAACCTATATTGGTACAGACCTTTAATTAGAGAAGCAATGTATTAGGAGAAACGAACCAGGAGAACACTTGAATTCAAATCCCAATTCTTCTATTTCCTACCTTTGAAAAAAATAACTCTCTGAAAGCCTCAGCTATAGAATGAGAATAGCGTTACTGACCTGACCACTTCATTTGATTGTTATTAATAAGAATCAAATGAAATTGATATGAAAGCACTTTGAAAATTGACAAAGGCTATACAAATAGAAACACTGGTACTATTATCATCTTTTTCAACTTAAGTCCAAGTATGGCGCCTCACTGTGGCATGGATGTGAACTCTGGTTCAGCCACAGTTTATCCCAACGTAAAACAAGCTCTAGCAGGTGCTACCAAATCTTGGGATGGAAAGGCCCAGTATGGACCTGGAGACAAAGGATTTATTTGTTGCCTAAGGACAGCCTTAGTTATTATTTTTTAGACATCAATCAACATGCATTTATTAAGAGCCTACCTACAACATTATGGTAGGAGAACTATCTACCAGAGTTCCCCAACATTTATGCAAGTTTAGTTTTTCCTAAAGCCCTACCATAAGTAGATTCCTAGGCTAGTTTTTCCTCAAAAGGCACTGAAATTTTCCTCAAGACTTGAATGACTCATGACATTAAGGGTTAGGTCACTGACTTAAGTTCTTAGCTGTCTAAATAAACATCTCATTTCATGAAGAGCTGAGGGATTCTTCCTGAGGCTTCTAGTCACAGACCCACAGAATGACCAACACCAAGAAGCACACCTGAATTAAATCTGTATCTTCAAAGAGTATTCTCCCCATTCTATGGCTAAGAAAATCTCCTTTTATTAAGTTCCAAATATTACAAGGATACATCATTTCAAAATAATCTTGAACATGAGGTACCAGCCTCAAGTTGGCTTTGGCCGACTATATAAGAGCTAAACACTAAGAATACAAGGACAAAAATGAAGCAATCGTTGCCCAAAAGAACTTACATTCTATCGGGGAGACAATATGCATATTTGACAACAAAATATATATAAAGTAAATATAAGGTTATGTTCATGTCAGGAGAGGAAGTGAGAAATCAGGAAAGGCCCTATGTAGGAGTTATCACTTGAGCTGAGTTTTGAATTAATCCAGGGATTCTAAGAGGTACCAGTGTGGAGGCAGTGTATTTAAGGTGCAGAGGATAAGAGATATAATGCTATGTGTGAATGAAGGCCAGTCTGTCTGCACTGTAGATTATATAAAAGGGTAATGTATGATGTGTCTGGAAAGTTAGGCTGGAGCCAAATTATGCAGGGATTTAAATACCAAACAAAAAAGTTAACTTCTTAGGGCATCCCCCATAAAGCTATTTAGTCCACATCTTAACCTAATAGATAAAGTAAAGTACTATAGAAATAGATCCTATCCACTGAAGAAAGGGTATTAGGGCTAGACTGGGAAATGGATAGTTTAAAGCTGAAGAAGATGAGGACAAAAAAATATGAGAAGGGGATAAAGGAGTTTTCTCCTGAAAGTGCCAGTGACAATTACAGGGATAGGGAGAGAAACAGGAGAAGCTATTAGGGTAACAGTAGGTAACATATGGAAAGAGAAGCTCATTGTCTCAAAAGGGTGGTATAGAAAGAGCTGGGCCAAACCTGGGTCTGTTCCTTCACCTAAGAACACTGATGAGTGCTGGTGGGGACTAGTCAATGGTTACCCCTGGATCTGTGTTCTGCCTGGGGCATGCAAAATACAGGCACCCATGCCCCCTCCTCCATGGTTGAGGTAGAAGACAGAAGGGCATGGTATTGAGAAGGTGGGAGGCAAGAAGTGATGCCTATAGCCAGCAGAGAATGTTAGTCAGCTGCCTACATTTAGCCCAGAGTCTTATGGGTAAAGAGCCCTTGCATAGGGAATAAGGGACTGGTATGTGGGTTAGTGATGCAGCTCACAACAAAAGTAATGGGGGGCAAATGGAATTGGGGGGGAAGGTAGGATAGAAAGGAGAAACCTTAGGGGTTTACTGAACCCTTCCCCTTCCTTCAACCCCACCTCCCCACCACCAAGAAAAATGCTGCTTTAGACCAATTCTAAGGAAGTGATATATAGAGCAATGGTGCCCACAGAGGGTGGGAGGGACACTACCAAGCAGCACTTAATAAAAGAAGAAAATTCTAAGCAGTACCTTTAGAGAAGGAAAAGGGTAGAGATTCCTGTGGCCAACTGTGATATGTAGGTGGTTGCCCTTTAATAAGGGACACATACAGTCAGGGATTACTTGTACTGACAAAAATATTTTGTGGAAAGTAAAATGATTTTGATAATATATTTGAAAAAAAAATCAATAAGTCTACATCAGGTACAATTTTTCCAGACTACACACACCCTGTTATCAGTTGCCAGCTTGAGGCTAATGACCAAAGAGCTTGGCTAATGACCTGGATTCTATATCCAATGTAAGAAAGAAGAAATTAAGTTATCCCCTATAGAAGGTCTATAACTCTCAAAAAGATCACCTTTGAGACTCCAACAATAACTGCTTGGAGTATAGTAGCAAATAGTCTTGATCTCTTGTCACAGACTTCACCAACTACTCAGCCACCTACCTTCTGACAAAGAAGTGATAGACTCAGTGCAGATTGAGACGTATTTTTGGACATGGTCAATGTGGGAATTTGTTTTTGCTTCACTATACATGTGTTTTACAACAGTTCTTTCTTTCTTTTTTTTCCCCCTCTTGGAGGAGGGGAGAGGGGAAAATATTTTGTCAACTGAAAAAAAAAATTTACATTTTTAAAATTAAAATATTTTAAAAACCCATTCATGGAAGGAGGAATGCCATTTAAAGCTGGTACCCCTAAATAAAGTACTTAGAAAATAATAATGTTAAACTAGGACAATGTTCTTTCATCTTTTGAAATATGAAAAGTGTGTCTTGATTGAGAGAAAACACAAAACAAGCAAGAAAAAATTTATAGAAACTGGTGGAAAGCAGGGGTGGAATCTTAAGGTTAGTATCAGTGCTTTTCAGGAATAGTTTTATGTCCAAAATATAACAAATCATTCAAACTGAACCCACGGCTTCTCTGTCCCAGGACCAGGTAGAATATGTTCAAATGTACAAACATAATTACCGACGGAGCTGTTCAGCCTCCTCTCTGGTGATTACTGTATCTGTTATGCCTCTGCCACATTTTCTAGGTGTACACCCTGGAGAAGAAAACAAAAATAAAGATACAGGAAATAAAAACAAATTTTCAAAGCATCTCATACTTTTCTGATAAAATGAACCAGCAAGTTCAATGTATATTATGTGTCACAACATATCAATATTTATTAGATGCTTGCTATGTAAATGGCATTTTTCTAGGACCTATGGAATTTTATAGTATGGAAAAGAAATAAATTCCTTCTACAAAAAAGCTTACAATCTAAAGTCATTTAGCCTTTCCTCTACCTCTAGGAAATATTTTACCTAAATTATACCAGGAAAATAATGATTACCATACCATTAGAAGAATACTCAAATAAAAGAGGCTACCAGGGTCCTCAAAAACTCTTCTTGCTAAGAAACCCATTTAATATCAGAAAATCTTTCCTGCCATCTAATAAATCCCTCTTTCTGCCAATTAAATAAATTTTCTCAGACTACATTCAGTGACAATAGAAATCAGTGGGTAATCCTGCAGTGGCTGCCACTGCTTTGCCCCAGGTATTATCAAGTATAAGATAAGGTATTATTAAGTGAAGAAGATTTGGAAATCAACAGAAAGAAATCTGTCAAACTCCCAGAGGAAGATGCCTTAGTAGCAGTGGAGGCCTGCCTCAGTGACAGATAGAAGTTTTCAGAGCCCAGCAACGAGTACCAAAATGTAATCTCTGTCCTACCAAGATAGGGCAATAATATTTTACACCAGACCATTACACTTGTCTATCATCTTCTCTGTTCTAGTAGTAACAGGATCATGTTATCTATTTCCCACATGATGCTAACAAAAACAAAAGTTCATAAAAATAAAAAGCTTATCATACAGATAATGAATAAGTCAAAGAAAAACTCCTGATACAATTTTTTTTAAAAATCTGCTACAATATAGGAGAATCAAGTGACTAAGCTAAGGAATTAAAAGCTAATTCATGAAACAGGAAAAAGATAAAATTAAGAAGATAATAAGCACATTAAAGGAATTAAATCAAGTTGCTAATTAAAGCTCCCCCAAAAAATATACTGAAGGGGGGTGGAAAGGAGAAGAAGGGTTATCTCAGAATTGTAGTATACAACTAAAAGTCTATACAAACAAGAAAGAAAGGGGGAAGCAAGGAAGATGAACCTTACTCTCTCCCCCAACCAGTCAAAGGAGGGAATACACACAAACACATACACAATCTCATACTTTCACGCACACAGAGTTGAATGCAGAAATATATTTCACTCAACAGGGAAACAGGTAGGAAAGGAGAAAAAGGAGTCAATTGGGGAGGTTAAGGAAGCGATTAGTCCTACTCAAACTCTAACTTAAGAATGTACAAAAATATTTATAACAGTTCCATTTGTGATGGCAAAGAATTGGATACTAAGGGAATGTCCATCTACTAGGAAATGACTGGACAAGTATACACACACATACACATACATAAATTTTAGCAGTTTCAAAGCAGTCTGAGCATACTGTTAAACCATGATTTTTGCAGAACCTCTGGTTTTTGGACAGTTCCTTTTTTTTGGATTTGAGATAGATTACATAGGAGTACGAGTATGCTGTAAATAAAAGTACGAGTTAGTGCTTTCTCTTAGTAGTTTTAAGAAATTAAAACAAATTTCACTTTTCTTATATTGAAAATAACCTATGATTGTATGTTTTGCATTCCTAGAAGTAGGTTAACAGTATTTTTAAATTGTTGTAACTTCACACCTTTTTGAAATCTGCCCTACAAAATTTATTTGGCTTCAACGTCAAAGCCGTGGCAATTTGTTCCTTGATATGATTGTATTTCCAATTTCTTGTTCATGTCAGATTTCAATAAAACTAAAAAATCTATACGTATCTATATATGTATATATGTATATGTGATGGAAGACCACTGTGTTGTAAGAAATGATGAAAGGGATGGCTTCAGAGAAACCTTGGAAAGACATGTATGAACTGATGCAGAATGAAATGATTAGAACCAGGAGAATAACTTATAAAATGACAATATTGTAAAGACAAACAACATTGAAAGACTTAGGAATTTTGATCAGTTCTGTGGTCAATCACGATTCTGAAAAACTCATGATGAGAAACATGCTATCCACCTCCTGATAAAGAGGTGAAGACTGAGACTGGTTTTTTTTGATATGGCCAATACAGAAATTTGTTTTGGTCAACTATACATGTTTGTAACAATTTTGTTTTTTCTCTCTCATTTGTGGAGAGGAGGGGAAGGGGACATCATGAAACAGCATTTACTGATTGAAAAAAATTTAATTTAATTTTAAATAATAATACAATACTAGCAAAGAGGCTATAAGAAATACATTAAAATACATACATACTATGACCAAAATGGATTTATACCAGAAACACAGGTTTAAGTTCAAAATTAGGGAAATTAAAAACTAAATCATACAGCAGCTATTTAAAAGACTAAAAAGCATAGGAACAAATGGATCTTTTCTCTGGATGGTAAAAAGCACTTTTTTTAAAAAAGAGTTTCATCATTTCCTTTAATTTTCTTTTCCTTTTTTTAATCACCCTTTAGGATCAGGAAATTTCTTTTCTTATGACTATTTCCTTTCTGGTATTACCCTTTCTCTTAATCCTTTCCCTCCATTCTCCCTTGTTTCCCTATTGAGTTTGATACATTTTTATATCAAACTATGAGTGTATCTGTGCTAATCCCTCCTTTGTTTTAGAGGAGTGAAATTCATCTGATATGTATTCCTCCAATCCCTTTATCTGTTTATAGATTCTTCTCAAGTACCTCAATTATGAGAAATTGTAAGTTCCAACCTCTTTTTGGACACTAGTATATTTCTCCTTTTACCTTTTTCTTTCACCTCTTCCAACTCTCAGAAAAGAATCAATCACCTGACTTCCCTCAGAACTTCTGTATTCTTATTTAACTCCCTCAATACCCTTTGAAGACTTTAAAATTCCAAAAAGATACTTGATTCTTTTTCTCCCATGTTAACTTACTTATACTTCCTTCCAATTCAGTTACTCCAATACGATTACCTTTTAAGTTTTCTCTGGACTGTTGTGTTTACATTTCAAAGTTCCTACTCAGTTTTGGTCTTTTCATCAAGTGTTCAAGAAACACCTGTAAGCCTCATATTTTCTCCCCAAGGTCAGCTTTGCAGGATAAGTTATTCTTGGATGTAAACCTAATCTATAGCCTTTTGGAATATTGTTTTCTAAGCTCTACTCTCTTTTATAGCAGAAGTTGCCAGATCCTGTGTATTCTTTTGTTGTTGTTGTTTTTTCTCCCTTCCTCCCTCCCCACCTACCCTCACTGAAAAGGCAAGCAACTCGATACAGGTTATACATGTGTAGTTATGCAAAACACTTCCATAATCGTCATGCTGTGAAAAACTAACTATATTTCCCTTAATCCTATCCTGCCCTCCCATTTATTCTATTCTCTCTTTTGACCCTGTCCCTCCTCAGAAGTATTTGCTTCTGATTACCCCTTCCCCCAATCTGCTCTCCCCTCCATCATTACTCTGCTCTCTTATCCCTTTCTCCCCCTATTTTCCTGCAGGGTAAGATACATTTTCATACCCAATTGAGTGTGTATGTTATTCCCTCCTTAAGCCAAATCCTATCAGAGTAAGATTCACTCATTCTCTCTCACCTTCCCCCACTTCTCCTCCATTGTAAAAGCCTTTTCTTGTCTGTTTTATGTGAGATAATTTATATCATTCTCCTCTCATTCTACCTCTCCCTTTCTCCTTCTCCCAGTATAATCCTCTCTCACCCCTTAATTTTATTCTCCAGATATCACCCCTTCATCTTCAACTCACCCTGTGCCCCCATCTATCTATCTATCTATGTATCTATGTATCTATCTATCTATCTACATGCATAAATATTTTCCCTCCAACTACTCTAATACTGACAAAGGTCTCATGAGTTACAAATATCTTTCCATGCAGGAATGTAAACAGTTCAACTTTAATAAGTCTCTTATGATTTCTGTTTCCTGCTTACCTCTTCATGTTTTACTTGAGTCTTGTATTTGAAAGTCAAATTTTCTGTTCAGCTCTGGTCTTTTCATCAACAGTGCTTGAAAGTCCTCTATTTCCCTGTATATCTATTTTTTTCCCCTGGAAGGATTATACTCAGTTTTTCTGGGTAGGTGGTTCTTGGTTTTAATCCTACCTCCTTTATCCTCTGGAATATGATACTCCATGTCCCTTAATGTAGAAGCTGCTAAATCTTGTGCTATCCTGATTGTGTTTCTACCGTACTTGAATTGTTTCTTTCTGGCTGCTTGCAATATTTTCTCCTTGACCTAGGAACTCTGGAATTTGGCTACAATATTCCGAGGAGTTTTCCTTTGGGGATCTCTTTCAGGGAGGTGATCGGTGGATTCTTTCTGTTTCTATTCTGCCCTCTGGTTCTAAAATATCAGGGCAGTTTTCCTTGATAATTTCTTGAAAGATGATGTCTAGGCTCTTTTTTTGATCGTGGCTTTCAGATAGCCCAATAATTTAAAAATTATCTCTCCTGGATCTATTTTCCAGGTCAGTTGTTTTTCCAAAGAGATATTTCACATTGTTTTCTATTTTTTTCATTCTTTTGGATTTGTTTTACAGTGTCTTGATTTCTCATAAAGTCACTAGCTTCCAACTGCTTTATTCTAATTCTTAAGGAAGTATTTTCTTCAGTAATCTTTTGGACTTCCTTTTCCATTTGGCCAATTTTGCTTTTTAAGGCATTCTTCTCCTAAAAAGTACTTCTAAAAAACAAACAGCCAACACTAGATATCATGGGGATAAATTTGAAATCTTTCTTGTGAGATTAGGAGCAAAGTAAACATATCTATTAACACCACTATTTTTCTTTTATCTACTACTAGGAAAGGCTAACTGTAGTAATAAAACAAGAAAAAGAAATTCAGTGAATAAGCACAGAGGATACAAACCTATTGCTTCCTGCAAGTAATATGATGGTCTACTTAAAAGAATCTTAAAGATTCAACTAAAAATTAATTGAAACAATTTC